GTTTTTTAAGGATGCCAGCCTAAAATTTAAAACTAAATGTACATGGCTACTTGCATTGTTCATTTATGTATACCTGTCGTTATTTGTAGGACTTTTGGAAAAAACTTGGTCAATTAGGACTTTTGGGAATAACAGTACCAGGTCTGTATTTAAATTGAAGCAATTTTTAAATACAAAAAGATTTCATGTAACTGAATGAGTGTACTGATGTAAAGCAGTTTTCACTTTTTTAGTTATTTCTGTTTTACCCAAAGTATTTTTTCTGATCTAATGTGTAAAGTAAAATTTCGTTTATGGTTACAATATTAATTCACCTGTTCATATATATTATACCCTCATTTTCCCTTTATTTTCCCTTTAGTGAAACCTTTGTTAATAAGACCCCAGATTAAACTAGCACCCTTTCAGTACAGTGTTCAATCTAGAAAACAAAAAGAACAAAGTCAACAAATGAATTGTGAATCGATCAGCTAAGTAACATACACTGTTTGCAGAACATTAAAATGTACAATGCCTGTGAAAGACCTTACAAAAAAACTACTCATAAGCATGTAGTCTGAAATGATAGTCATTTTGTGCACTCATTTCAGGCTAGTAAGCACACCTTTTGTAAAATTTATATATATTATTGACTGTTGCTTTGGAAGTACTTGTATACAAGGTAACCTTTTTTTGTATCAGTAAGACTTCACAATAATTTCATTTTGCACCAGAATGGAATCTTCAGCAACAATGATGTAAAAATGTGGCCTAGATTGAACACTGCTCTATTATTAACCTGACACCAGCATCAGAAAGAGTATCTACGTAAGATTTTTAATTACGAGAGGCCCATTCTTTGTATGTTATCTTGATTCTGATTTTACTTTAAATACAATAATTACACATTGTGTTGTCCCTATTCCCAAATCAAGGGAATTTAGTGTATCATGTAATATTTTACTGTTTCCAGTCCCTGGCCAATTTCCCTTGGCATTATACAGTAAATTATGGGCTTTAGGGTGTTACTAGAGTAGACACAATTATTCTGTTTTAATACAGTGGCTGTTCTTTTCATGATGCTCCAACAGAGAAATATGACGGTACTGGCCTTGGATACATGGACCACTGTATTGTCGTGGAAGAAATGAGCAGATTCTCAGGAGCTATTGCTTTGAGTTACGGTGGGCATTCAAATTTGTGTGTCAATCAAATTGCGAGAAATGGTACTGAAGCTCAAAAAGAGAAATATCTTCCAAAGGTTAATACATAACTACTTTAAATAAATGAATTTAATGTCACCTTCCATTTTAAGTATCCAGACAAATGGCTGGTTACATCAAAATGTAGATCAGACAAAACTAAGCAGCCCAGTCGAGATGATTCACAGTATTAGGCAGGATAACCAGAGAGACTGGCTACAAAGGCCTACATTTGTGTGGACTTTTTTAAATTTTTTTAAACCTAGTTTTGAGTAGGCAGCAAAAAAATGATTTCACTGGAATATCAAGGGGGAAGACTGCCAGCTGCTGGCTCATTTTAAGAGGTTGCAAAAGTAAGGACTGCCAGATGCATTTTAATTTATTTCGCGGGACACTGCTTAGCAATTGGCCTGACTTATGTGATTCTCATTGTGTGATGGCCTGATCTCACTTCTCCTTGGATTTTTTGTTTTTTTTTTCACACTTTTTGCAGGGCAAGAATGCAATCATGATAGAATTTACAAGAAGACATATAATAATATTAAAGAAATAAAAGTAATCAATTATAGTTACAAGAATAATTAAAAACAATTGCTGATCCCCCAAACAATGTGAAAAAAACAATGACAGCAGCACACCCAGGCCAATACTCCAGGCTGCAACCATGATCTCAGTCAAGGTAGAGAGGTGTCCACTTTAAAAGGGCAGAAAAAAAACAGTGTGCATATCCTCATGCACATTTACTTGTTTATATGGTGGGCATAGAGATAAAACAATAACACTGTAAAAAAAGTGTGTATTTGCTTTTCAGCTCGTATCTGGTGAGCACATGGGTGCTTTAGCCATGAGTGAATCTGAAGCTGGATCTGATGTTGTG